TGATAGCACCGCTGAAATCTGTGGAGTTTCACTTCCAAATTGAAGAGCATAAGTGCAACTTCACTGGGAGGAAGGATGGAATAAAAATAAATTGAATAATACTTAGAAGTATTGAATTCAGAGGGACTTAAATTCCTTGTAGGGGTGCATAATATTTCAGATGTAATCACTGAATGGACTGCATAATGCAGGAAGTGTCTTCCTCACACATTATGCAGTCTGATCCTACACAACTTTTTAGTGAATAGCCACATTGTTTACATGCAACTTTTTCCAGGTTAGTATGCATAGATTTAAAGCTTGAGAATGGGAGAAAGCCCCATGTGCAGTTCAATGGGGCTTCCTTCATCAGGTTTGGTGGCATTCCTTTCGAAGCAAACCACTCCCTCTAATAAATAATTCAAGTGGTCAATGGAACACATTTTTTTTCTTAAGGAACCTAAGGGACAAACATATTTCCTGGTCCCTCCTACACAAAATCCCCATTCAGTTATGAGCATGCTTAGTAGCCATGGTGTAATCTGGATCACTTGGAAAAGAAAAATGGAAAATGAGGGACTAAACTGAGTGTCCTGGAAGAGGATGTAGTTAGCTGGAACCCTGAACAGGAGCTCTCCTCTTAAGAGGAGAGGGCGCACTGCAATATCCTGTTACCAGTTCCACTTGTATGTCAGAATTGTTAAACTTACTGTTGTGGATGTAAGAACTCTGGAATGCTAAAAATACTTCTGGTAATTTAAACTGTTATTCCAGAATTAAAATGAAATTGGAGTGCAGTTAAGTTAAAATTCAAGTTACTTACCAAAGCTGCATCTGACTGCCCTTTTAAACTGAGTAAGGAACTAGGAACAAACTTCAGCCTCATGAGAAGTCCCGGACTCAGACTTCAATGTCACTTTTATTATATTAACAAATTTACTCTTGGAGTGAGAGCCAATGTGATGGTGAAATACATGAGCTACAACCTGCAAAGCTCCTGTTTCAAAGTTCATTTCAGCTGTCGGCAGCCTTAGAGAAGCTGGTTGTTTTTTTTTTTTAAAGTGTTGAGTCACACTTAATTTTGTTACAGGACACCAACTATAACATGTATTTCAAACAGCCAGGTTTTCAAGCAATACAGTGGCACCTCCAGTTATGAACTGAATTTGTTCCAGAGGTCCGTTCCTAACCTGAAAGCGTTCTTAACCTGAGGCACGCTTTTGCTAATGGGGCGCATCCCGGGGCAAAGTTCGCTACCAGGAGCACCTACTTCTGGGTTAGCGGAGCTCGTTACCTGAAGTGTTTGTAAGGAGGATGGTACACAACCCGAGGTTCCACTGTATTTTCCTGTTCACAACTTCTGTATATGTTGCATGGAAACCTGAGCACTTAAAACTTGTGTCATGTGTTTGGGCCATATTTTGTACTTTGGTATCTGTACCCAAGTACAAAAACTCTGAATCTGGTCCTCAGTCTCCCCCAATGCCAGCTTACATTGTCTTTTTTTTTGTATGTCTTTATTAAAAAAAAAAAAAAAGGAAACGTGAAATTGTAGCTCATTACATATGCTTCCTCATTTGTCATAGAAACTGTGAGTTCTAAGTGTCCTTTACTTCAGAACAATATTGTTCCTTGGGGCATAATTGCCCCTTATCTCATACACCAACATTTCACTTTATTGCCATAAGTGGTTCTTAAAGCAATATTACAAAATATTCACAAAATAAAATTGCATTCAGATACAGTACAGGAACTAGAATTCAATGCAGTGTTTGAAACTTCCATTGTTCTAAGCGCATTTTGTGATAGGGAATTTCTGAATTCTGTGCGTAGTACTACGCCTAAGATTTCAGATTAAAACTTCAGAGTGGAAGGAAAGGAGGACCTTTTTCTGCCCTCCTCCCTTCCAGCTACTCTCTGAATACAGTACAAGAGACCCTCTTAAGAATATTAGGGGGGTGGGCAAGGGAAGGACTAGTCCATGTGAAAAATAAGCATAATATTTTAGCTGCAGTTCATTCATTTTCATTCCTGTTGTTAAAAAAAGTGTGCCTAGACATTCCATTGTTGTGCCCATAACCTAGGTTTAAAGTGCCATTTAGCTCCTAGCTTTCATATCTGTTTCTAACACTGATTGCATGGTGTCCAAAAAGAACCAGGATTTTTTTAGGTGGCATTTTCTGCCATCATCCTTGAATCATTCTAGGCACTGGCTCCCACCAAAGTTCTCTGTGGCAAAGGAGTGGGGCTGAGAAGCTGGAACTTGTTTTAGCCTATGATGGAAGCAGCCTTCCCTTGCTGGCAGTTGCCAGGTAACAGCTCCCACCAAGGTCCTCTGAGACTAGTGAGTGTGGCTGAGCTAGCAACAGGCCTTTTGGGGCAAGGAAGTGAACCTAAGCAGCTGGATCTTGCTCAGCCCCTGGTGGAAGCAATCTTCCCTTGCTGCTGCTTCCCTTCTTCATGTTATTGTATTATACAATAAGTGATGATCAGAAGTAAACATTTTGAACTGTCTTCTATA